GAAGCTTCCGTGGAGTGCCACTCTGGAGAGCGACATGCAGCAGAACGGGCGTCTGACACATACACCATAGCTGTTGAGACGCCGCCAGGATCGCGACTGGCGACTGCATGACGCTTTTGATGGGAAAGCACTAATTGTCTTATGCAGCGAGCCGACGTCATCAGTTTGAAGCACGCCAAACGGCACCTTAAGTCCTTTCTCTAAGTGAAGTCAGCTTCCAGCTATGAAACCACGCGAAAGGCCTAGACAACGGCGCCTAGTTTACCCAATCTCAAAGGAGCGGAGTAAAGCTGATGGATTTCGCCTTCGGTCCCATTGGCTGGCGCTCGTCGACGAGGCTCCCATTGGCCGCTGCGCGCGTCAGTTTCAACGACCGCCGGCCCATGGTGCTGCGTAACCGCACCGCGAGCGCGCCTGTAACACGAACGGTCTAAGATCAGAGCTGTGAGGAAAACTGGGAGAGCGCGCGCACGGCCGACGCAAATACGCCGCAAACGAAACACGGGACCGGAGGAACGGCACGTATGCTTTCGCATTCACAACTCATATTAAGTGCTTACCCTAGCTGAAAACAACTGTTTAAGGTGGATTATGGAACAGGAAAATCTAACTGGATTTCTTTCTGGAAACCTGAATTCCAGTTTGCAGACCATTGTCTACAAACTGGATATCAAGTTTCCAGCTAGAAATACAGTTAGATTTTCCTGTTCCATAATCCACCTTAAACTGTTTTTTCCGGTAGGGTTAGGTGTACCTAGAGCCTATGTTATGACGTCATCAGGCGGAAATCCGTCTGATGGCGGATAGGACCAATCAAGCAGCATCAAAAGCGGAATTCACTGGGCTTTTTTGATTCTGACTGGTTAACCAATGGTAGAACACGTACAGGAACATGACAAACACTTTGATGGTGCGTTTTTGAGGCCTTCTTATTGGTCTCATCAGCTCGTAGCGTTGGCTGCGTCTTGACTTTAGGCGAAACAAAGTATAGGAAAGGCAAAGACACTCTTTATGGTTGGAAACCCTATGCGCTGCAATAGACCATTTGCAGTATTCCCAAGCGCCCCGGCCCGCGCTCAAGGAATCATGGGAACGGTGTTCCTTCAGCTCCCTAGTGATCGGCAATTTCGACCGATTCCGTGGTTACACAGTTTCGAGTGTAATTCGCAGTCACCTTGAACAAGCGTCTCATAGACCTCAAGGACCTGTCATATCACTCTTAAAATTTGTCGTCAAGGGCAGCATTTAGGATACTGTGCATGCGATCCACCTTTCAACCTGACTGAGCCGCAGAAATCTCTTACATTATTATCATTGTCGTGAATGTGTTTGTTGTTTTAGCAGGAATTACTTAAAAGCCAAGAAATGACAACAACCAAAACCGGGAATTAGCTCGGATTCAGCGGAGCTGTTTATAGCATTTCTAGCGTTTTCAACTCAATATCGGCGTCTTTGAAGCTGTACGAGAATGATAATAATGTAAGAGACATGTCTGCAGCTCATCCAGGTTGAAGGTTGGACAGAATGGACAGAATTACATTGGCGAGAAATCTTAAAATGATATGACAGGTGCTTGGGTTCCATACGGCACCTGCTCAAGATGACTCCGAATTGAACTCAAAACTGTGTAACCATAGAATTTGTCGAAATTTCCGATCACTAGGCAGCTGAAGGAACACCGTCCCCACGATTCCTCGAGTACGGGCAGAGGCGTTCGGGGGATTTAGCAAACTGTCTATTCGGGCGTAATGTTAACAGTTCGAAATAATTAAGCTACATTGAAATCCTCAAGAAAAGTAGCATAAAACATCCTAAACTTAAGCTTGCCAAAACTGAAGTTTGGGATTATTCGCGAGCTAGTATTTAGATCGCGAACAATGAGTCATTCAACGTTTGCTAACAAAGCACTTTTTTTACTTTTTTTTAACTTTTTTGTATATTGAAAACCGACCGCCAGATAAAGGTGAAAATACGCCAGATTCGGCTGTATATATTCCAGGTGAGGCTTTATATTCGCCACGTAAGGCTGTATATACGCCAGATACGGCTACATATATGCCAGATAAGGCTGTATATATGCCAGATAAGGCTGTATATACTCCAGACAGGGATGGGCAAAATGCATGCAAATATGTATCGATATACAAATACAAAATACTTCGTCAAAAATGTATTTAATTACAAATCTAATTACATTTAAAAAAAAGCATTTAAGTACAAGGTACAAATACAACCAAATGTATTTGGTCGCCTCCAAATACTTTTCCAAATACATTCTCCAAAATTAGCGTCAGCGACTTCAGGGCACCTGCAACGGGCTTTTGGGTATCTCATTTCAGTTTTGCATCGCTCACTCGGGAGTGAGTGTGCGAGGCTCTAGTAACGTAATATAAATATAATCACAGAAAAATGTAATCAGCTTGGACGTATTAGGTGAAAAAAGTACAGAGCTTCAAGCAGCTTTTTTTGTCATTACATTTTGGTACGTTAGAAAACATGATTGCGCTTTGAAGACGGGAACATAGGAAGGACAGACACCACAGAGCGCTAACTTTCAACTGATTTAATTCAAGAACCTCAGCGTAGAAACACACTGCGTCACCGCACCACATCTCAACCAATCCGTGGCCCTGCCACGAACCGCAAGTACGCCAACTCCTTATCCGCCAAGTCAATTGACGCCACACTGACACAACACGTGCCGGAACTATTTATAGCGGTCAGCCTCCATAATCTCTCTAACAGTCCTATCTTTGTGCCTAGCAAGAACAGTAGACGAAGCAAATAATGGTTTGCACCCGCAGTCTTGACAGTGACACGACAGATGGCCTTCCCGAACCCCGTTCACTTTCTGGTAGTGCTCCCTTAGCCGTACATTTAAACATCTGCCTGTCTGGCCGACATAAATCTTGCCACATGAAAGCGGAATTTGATACACCACCCCTTCCGTGCACGCGACAAGCGGACTCCTGTGCTTGATTGGGCAGCCCGTCGGCGCCTTGCGGAGTGGGTCTGTCATCTTGCACATTTTTGCGAGTTTTTCGGGTGCAGAGTAAACAATACGTAACGTTTACATGTTTTGCTATCTTTCCCAGACTGTGCGCTGTTCTGTGCATGTACGGCACAACCGCAACTTTTTGTCTCGCTTGACCTGCCTCTGAGCGCGGGCTAACGTCCTTTCTAAATTTCTTAAGGACGCCTTCTGCTACGGATACAATCACAGCCTTTGGAAATCCGGCACGCTGCAAACGTTTGTTTTCTTCAGTCAGACTCAAGGACATTGCATCAGGGCAAGACCTTTTGAGGGCGTTCGTAAAACAGAAATTAACTATTCCTCTTTTAACTAATTGCGAATGAGATGAGTTAAATCGAAACAACGGCTTGTCGGCCCTTGTGTGGTATGCCCAACACATGTGCTGTTCAGAGAGGGTGAGCTTAATGTCTTTGTCGATTACATTTTGGTATTGACCAACAAAGAACCTAGACGACCAAGACGCGCAGCACTAGCTAGAGACTTGTTTATTGTTGCAACTCACACCAGTTACGAAAATCTGGACGACCCGCGCATTCAGAATGTTCCAGGCAAAAATATGGATGGAAATCAGGCTGGAAAGCATCACAAGTTGTCACGGGCACTTATTTAGCCAGCCTCTGCCTGTGCACGTCGATTTCGTCACTATTCTTGCCCTGGACTAGCACCGTAATCACAAAGTCACTAAACGCTTGTGCTTGATTGAGAGACATTGCGTTCGGTGCAGAACGTAGTTTTCTTCCTGCTCTGGACAGTGACAATAAATTTGAGGGGTGTGTTTTCGCCCACAAAATTGTATTTAATTACAAAGGTATTTGAAATACCCACGTTTTAGTATTTAAATACACACGTCAAATACATTACCCAATTTGTAATTAAATACAAATACAAAATACACAAAGTATTTGAAATACGTATTTCAAATACTTGTACTTGAAATACTGCCCATCCCTGACTCCAGATAAGGCTGTATATAGGCCGTATATAAGCATATAATGTTTTAAATGGCCAGATATGCCCCAGATATAAGATTTCCATACGGAGTCTAAAGGAGGAGGAGGGGAGCAGGCAGAGAGTATTCCCTTTTGCTGGCTTCCCTATTTTAGAGCGCAGCTCTTATGCACTCGTTTCCGGGTTGAGTGGCATTGTATTATGGGACGTTCCCATAATGAGGTCACACGGGAATTTTCACGCCAGGTGTGACGTCAGACGTCAATTTACGTGCTAAATTTAGCGGGAAAGTTTAGCGGAAAATTTACCGCGAAACTTGGCGGAGAAATTTTCTTGATAAATTTAGCGGGTAACTATATTCCGCTAAATATAGCGGGGAAATGTAGCGGAAGAAATGTGCGGCTATATTTAGCGGTGAAAGTTTTATGCTAAATTTAGCGGGGAATTTTTCCCCCAAATTTTTGTGGGGAAATTTTTCCGCTCATTTTAGCGGGGAAATTTACCCATGATGCAATGCGTGGTGACATCACGAGTGACTTTACTGGTGACCCTCTTGACGTCACACGTGGCGTCACGTGTGACGTCCTTATGGGAAACGTCCCATAATGCACCGTGCGGTTACACCGACGGCGACGCCGCTCAAACCGAAAGTGGGTGTCTAAAAGCTGCGCTCTAAAACAGATGCGAAATCATGGATATTGGATATAAATTTTTAAAATTTCCCTAAATATTACAATTCGATATTACATTCAAATTTAAGGCGACGCATCACCACTCTATTTGTTAGACATTTTGTGGGGAAAACGTTACATGCCTTTTAAATAAGTGGTTAATCAAAGTACAATGTGGAGGAGCTTCCTCTCAGGCTGTATTTATAAAGAATTTTAACTTAGTTCAAGACTGTACGATAGGTTAGGTCTTCAAGGTAATGTTTTAAAATGACCTGCGTTCTTATAGTCACCCATTTATTAACAAAAATGTGGCATACTGGCAGAACATCTTCCATCTATTGTCCACTTTATTTAGGCGTCCATGACCTGCTGCTCCACCTATCAAAGCAGCAAACGGTTGAAAATATAAAACCGGCGAAAATTGAAAGTCCCCCGTGGAGCCGATAGTAGTTGTCGTATGACCCCGTGGAATCTCTGAACACACCTGGAACATCAATAAATTAAATAAGTTCGTTAGATATGTCCCCGTGCATATTGACTCAAGAAAACACATATATACGAAGCCAGTTACTTATATATTTATATATGTGTGTGTGTGTGTTATAAATCAGAACCGTACTCTAAAGGGAAACATAGACGCTATATTAAAATACAACACTCCCCTACAAATAGTCAAGAAATACAATTATCATGGACTTCACCTTAAGCAGAATCTCAGATTGTATATCACATTGCCGGTATTAAAACCAAAGCAGCTAACATGCTCCGCTACCTAAGCGGGTATTAAAATCCCCATCTAATGACCCAGAGCTACTAACATATAGAGCATTTTTGCGTCCCATAGGCGAATGCGCTAACGCAATCTGGTTTCCCCATTATAAAACAAACAAAAATGTATACTAAAATAGAAACGATGCAGTGTTTGACTGCAAAACTAATCGCAATAATTTTCGCTAGAGCGGCTCTTTCACAACTATGCTAATTAGTTGATATATCCTTACTTGACAAAAAGGCGAAGATTGCGATCGGCTTACTTTTTTAAAGTTATGAATGACCAATGTCTTGCAAATAAAACTATTTTGTCATATAACCACAGCCTCAAGAGGTAACCACGGCAGGCTACTTACATAATATCGAAGTAATGTTTCTTGTTAATGCCCATTATTTTCGAGGGTCATATCGTTTGTCTGACACCTTTGCTCGCGCTACGTCTGTAGATTCATTCACAAATTCGTTAGACCATTGTGTTTCATAACTTGTGCATACTATCAACTTTCTAAAAATAATATTTTATAACTTTCTCGCTCTATTTTTTATTGTTTTTTTTTTTTTTTTTCTTTTAATATCGTTAATTGTGCTTCTTTCCCTCGTTTTCCCTAACCACACTCAGGTCATTTTTTCCTTCTTCATCTGGTCCCTTTACTGTTCGCTGTAGCTAGTGCTGCTTTGATTACCATCTACTGAATCTCGTCCTCTCTTTGCTGACTTCCCGTCCTTGGCCGTCTCTCAACCATTGCCTTCATGTGTGAGTGAATTTCTGGAAACGTGGTTTTACCTGTATAAGATAAGCTGGGAAAATCTGGAAGTCATATTCTTTCAGGAAGACTGTCCATTGTGCAGGTTCTGCCGTCAAGTATTGTTTGTTGGAAGTCAGATCACCACTTAATTATTGGCTACAGCAGTGAACTAGCGACCATAAAATTCTGGACTAAATTTCCGCACTGACCATATGAGAGTCAAACATTCTAGATAAAATGAATGCGTTTTCTCGTCTTGTTGCTTGAGCCGGCGACTTGGATAAGAAATGACTCAGATTACAATTGAGATCCTCTTAAAGTAGAATAGCACAAAATCCTTGTTCCCTAGCATCTGTTTGGAGGGATGTTTTGACACAAAAGGGTTCAAAATGTGCGAGTACTGGAACGTTTAGGAGGGCCGTCTTTTAAGTTATGAAACGTTGACTGTTGGATTCCCCAACGCCATGGCACATTCTTCCAGACAAACTGTTGAATGAAGTCCCAAGAAAGGCACAGTGAGAAAATAAAACGGGGAAATGTGATGCAAATTTCCGAAAGCTCCACACAATTCTGATAGTTATGGTTATCGGATATTCAGATAAGGCCTGAAGTTTGAAGGAGTCAGGGTTCATCATGTTCTTGCTTACATCATGTACATAATGCGTTACAGAAATAAAAAAAATCATTTTTCAGGCTTTACGCGGATAATGGTATTGCCTAGAGCATCAAGCACAATAGAAAGCCTTCGTATGTGTCCGTCGCATATGTTGGCATAAACGAAAACATGACTTAAGTAGACCAATGTCACAGTCTACTTCTGATTAGCTAAAACCCTGTCTGTGAGGCTTTGAATCGTAACTGGAGCGGTACAAAAGCCAAGGGGAATACGGTTTAATTAGTATAGGCCGTCCTGTGTGATAAGGACTGATTTTGAAAGCATTCACAGTCTCACCTTGTCTCTTTTTTCTCAGAAAAATATCTCAGCTATTAGGGTTTCAAAATATATATCACTCTAACCCTATACTTCGACATTTCGACATTCTCTTTCAGCTCGCTTGCACCTTTGCATTTAATTGCATTACCATTACTTCGCCCCAAGCACTGTTTCCCCTACCAACTTCACGCACCAATCATCAACTAAATGTTAGAATTACCAATTGCAGCGCATTTACTTTCAATGCCTACTTCTTACCTTAAACCTCAAGTGATTAAAATCGCCTTCCCGCAGTCATTTATTCAATCACTAAGATTACTGATTTCTGGATTGCAATTACTAATTTGATAAAATGATGGTTCGTAATAATTTAGTAGTTTTGCCTTTTTATTGTTGTTCCACTTTAATGTCTGCCTAAGAGTACCTAATCCTCTGTAATGTCACACTGAAAAAATAAATGCAAATAAAAAAAATAATGAAAAAAAGACACGAGAGAGGGTAGACGTCTAGCTGGGTTACATTTTTTAGTGTTCTGTAATCAACGCAAAAACGTACAGCGCCATTTTTTTCGGACTAGCATATCCGGGACGATTACAGACTTGTCGATGGACTGGTCGCACCATGGTCGAGCATCTCATTCACTCGACTTTAAATGGTTTCCCGCTCTGCAGGGGCTAAGTGACGTAGAGTTTGGAATATCGGTCTACTCCCTCCAGTGTGGATGGTGTGCTTTGCGTACGATGTTCACCCAAGTTCGTCTGAGCTGAGGGTATTGCAACCTCGATGTTACAACAGTACTATCTTGATATCAGTTTCTTGTTCGCCAGTCTAGAATGATCCGAATTTAAACTGGACTCGCTGTAAGGAATTACTTGTAGTAAAACCATGGCGCAATTGGACTCTCCAACGAGTGATTGGAGCGTTTCAGTGTGCTCCTCCGAAATAATAATAATGTCTGTGCTGCTCACATTGATCATCTCTGCCGTGCCACGAACGTTTTGCTGATACACAAAGCAAGTGTTCAAATTGAAGCTAATACCCATCCCGGCTTAGCACGGCCACGCATCAAAAGCAGCTTGACGGTTAATCTTGGATATTTTGGCCTTGAGGCGTATTCATGAAGCAGCCTCGACAAGTATAATGGCGGTATTTCCCACATATTAGTTTGTGTTATCGTAGATGTGTACTTAAAAACACGCGACCTGACCGCACTGGTAGAAACATTGTAAGAACTTGTGCCAGCTTTCTACGGCGACGATTCACAAAGAACGAACGACGCACATGAGCCGCATCAAAGTACGCTTACATGACGAGGTGTCAACACGTCCTGTTTCTAGGGGTGTGCGAGAATTCCTCTCGGCTTCATTTTGTTCAGGCTTCAGCCGGAAATGTATATTTGTTTACAACCCTCAAAATCAAAGACTATTGCGGAAACGGAGTTTGATAAAACACGATGTCTACATGCGAATATTCCCCAAAAGGGGTGACGAGAATTTAACATGTCCTTCTGTGCAAGTCGTGGCACTGTTGGAGACTAAAAGTTGAGGATCGGGCTGGAAAACACCAGAATCAAGTGACACGAGCGTCGCGTTAATTATGTTGACTGTTGCTCATATATGTGAAAAATATTTTCTTGTGTCCCCTTCCTTGAATTTCTACTTCTATGGTCTGAATACTAGTAAGACGCCTTGAAAGTGATGTGAGGGGGACTCCATCGCCTTCGTTTCCCGTCCTACTCCCCTCGACCAAGAAATCAGTTTGCCGTCAAGTGTCCCTGTCGTCTGAACTCAGACGTGAAATCTCTTTGCCTCTCGCACTGGAAGCACCGCAATTTGTCAGAGTTAGGTGATACTCCTGATGTGGCTGGCGTGCTCGAGATTTACTCAAATAGGCAATTGGCTGCGATCACGTCTGTCAAAGTGTTTAAGCATCCACTGTTGCTGATGCTTAAACCGCGAACTCAAAATTCTGCTTCTGCTTCTTAACGGTGCCTGGAATGGGTCTCCGACTGGTGTGTTTAGCGTCTCGTTCCACACATGCAGTCAAGGTTGTCCCCAAGTGGCCACAAACGACGTCCCAAAAGTAGGAGATTCATGCTGTGTGATTTCGCGATCCTGGTGGTTGAACCTTCCAACTCCTCGGCGTTTCAACTCCTTGCTCTCAGGTCTTCTGTGGACTGTCGAACAGGAGAGCAACCCACAGCAGAACAGGCGTCAAACACGTCCACCACCGGTTGCTGTGACAGCGGCAGGATTATGGAAGTTGACAGAAAGACACTTCTATGATGTCGTCAGGTGAAAATGGATAGACCACTTTATTGGACGCCGTTAAAACACTAGTCGGAGGCGCGCTCCAGGCACCGTAGTTCCGTGATCAGAATCCGCGGTTCGGCGAAGGTAATTAGATCTTTGGAATTTCCGGTGTTTCCAGTGGAAACGTTGGGCTGGCCATGTTGAGCGTGCTCTTCCGTGACAGCCATTGTAATTGAATCCAACCGCTTCTATTAATCATGTTATAGGCCGAACTTTCCGTCGTTTTGCCCAACAATCGTTCTGTCATTATTCTCGTCTTCACCCGCCCTCTTGCTGTTGGAAGTAGCTTGTGCCGCTTCAATTACCATTTGTTATAATACGTACGTTATATGTTGTAGGTTCTATTGTGCTTCATATACACTGATCAATTCAAACATTACGACCACCCCTACACTGTGGGATTGAGCGCATCTATCTAGTGCGTCATGCCCGTTATATACCACCTGCTGATGCGCATGGTGGTTAACGGCTGCCTTGGACACGGCGGGATCATTTTGTCGACTACGTGTGTATATATTGGGAAAGGCTACTGATTTTAAGGACCACAACAAGGGCCAGGTAGTGATGTCCAGACGGCTCGGAACAGGCATCTCGGAAAATACATAGCTCGTCGGGTGTTCGCGAGCTGCCGTCCTCAGTACCTATTAATAGTAGAATAATGACAATAAAACTGTTAGTAGACGCCGAAGCTTTACACGTCCACGCTTCATTACACAATGTTGACGTCGGAGGCTTTCCCGCTTAGTCAATTAAAATGGGTGGCTACCTGTGATTTCACTGACAGCAAGATACAATTTAGGCAAAAATGTAAGTGTTTCTAAGCACATAGTTGAGTGAACTTCGTTTTAAATAGGCCCACGCAGCCGATAGCCCTTCCGTGCCTAAGGTGAATCTAACATGGTGTTAAATAGGTTGTAATAACGTTTTGGCTGATCAGTATATATTCAACTGTGGGGCCCAATTATGGTAACCCTATAATTTGAGTAAGCTGCTCCCACTTACTGCTTCTTCTTAAACTGCACCACCAACTAACGTATGTTCTTCAAGGCATTGTAACCACCCAAATAAAGTTCCGAATGGAAATGGTAGTATTACTAATTAAACAAATATGGGCTTGGTAAGAAACACTGCTATACCATGCCAGCAAGTCATAAGGCAACATTAGGTTGTCTGTTGATGAATTGGTTGGATAAACAAACAAAAAAAAAACCAGCTTCGTTCACTTTTTTGTTGTACTTAAATACAAAAGTCAGCCTTGTAGAAGGAGAAAGAACCAAAGTGCATTAAGGTAACGATCGCTGTGCGTGTATTTTAAATGAATGATTGAATGAATCTAAAAAATATAACAAATTTTTGTTGTTTGATGTAGTCATGACACAACTGCAGGCCGGTACATTGAGAGTTCCTATAAGTGGCAAAAAAAGGAGTTATAGGCCCCAGGCTAGTAGTAAAATACATTTTGAAGAAAATAAAACGATGGACATGAAGATATTTCAGATCTTTCCAGGTAAACATTTTGGCCAGATAACTAATTAATGTGAAAACTCAAATTTTGATGCTCTGAATAATAGTAGGGACATGGTTCAGAAAATCCCAGTTAAAAAGTTACAGCAACATACTAAAACGTATAGATGTCATTATGCAGACTCTTGGAGATATATCCATCCCCCATGATGGATATTAGCAGAGGAAGAATATATGGCCATTCTGGAAAGAGGTCCTTGTTGTTTGATACCATGACAGAAGTATTGGGAACTAAGATATACGAAACTAACTATCAGGACGCAGCTACAGTGCGTTTTGCTTGTGCAGAGGAAGAAGACACGACTCAACAATTGATATCCTGTTGTATATTGCGACTGACCCTACGGTTTTTGAGAAGAAGGTTGATTTAGTAATTGCAGTAGCTGCTAATCACAATGAAGGAAAATTCTGTCAAGCAAACAAATTTAAACACTAATGAATCGATTAGTGAAGCAGTGACAAAAGGCTTCTTTTTTTTATTCTTCAAGAAATATGAGGGTGGCATATATTAATCGTGAAGGTTCAAAACACCGGCTAAGGAAACTATACTACGCCCGGCCCAAAACCTACAGACATTAAGTAAAAACAACTCACCTATTATTGTAGGATTGCACAAAAACAAGGGCATCGTTGATAGTCCCAACAATGCACAACACAATGGGAATGAATCAGCTCCAAGGTAGTCAGTGATAATTGCAGCTTTTATGGCTCCGAGGAATGCTGACGAGCTTGCTACGCAGAAGCAAAAAATGACAACATAGGTATACTTCTCAACTTCTGGAAGGATTAACAGCGAGCAACCGAGAACGATTAGATTGACCACGATCAGTGTGCTTCGTTTCATGAATCCGCGGTCAGCCAGAAGCGGGACAATTAGACATCCCACCAGTTGGGCAACTGATGAATACACAACGATGAATTCGGCTGTTTCCAGAGCGAAACCCTTATCTATAGAATAGTCGACAATTGTTGACTGAAATGCCATGGATGCGAAATCCGATATGATCATATATGAAACAATCGAATAACAAACTGGCTTTCGAAGTACTCTGAAGGACTCTTGAATAATCTCAGCGCCCTTAGAAATGTTCTTTTCGGAGGGATTCCTGATTGGAGAACCGTCCTGTGAAAGGCAAGTTCCGTTCATAGTTACGTAATCCGGAGCTTGATACTTGATAGGCTGTCTGACTTGCGATTTCTGTCTCATCCATTGGGGCACCTTTAGCGTGAGAGAAAAGGCTGTTACGTGCATTGTAATTGCACCGGTGAGAAGTAGGGTGCCACGGAAGCCATATGCTTCCTCAAAATACACGAGGGCCGGCGGGAAAATCAGGGATGCTAAATACACGCCAGCGAATTTTACGCCGCAAGCTATTCCCCGGTACTTGTCGAAGTATAAGACGTTAATGTAGGCGAGAGATAACGTGACGATTCCTACACCGGTACCTGAAAAGAGAAGAAATAGGCAAGTTGTCCAGTTTCGTGCAGTGACAGAACAGATTTTGTATTCTTATAATTTTCAACAGTTCGCATGTTACTTTAAAGGATGGTTCACACATCTACAACTGCTTAGAACTGAGTGCATTAAAACTGAAGCAGGGGACACATGAGCGATTAAGACCGGGCGCCGTGTGGCAGACTCATTCTTACGCGGAATGGCGGCATGGCATTGTTTCACGTCATAGCGTCCGAGGAAGTTGCTATGTAAACTTTCGCGCGGCACGCGTTTTCATCCTTCATGTATCCCCTGCTTTATTGTGATCTCTTACGACAAGATTACATACTGGCACCATCTATCGGTTAACCGTGAAACACTTGCGATTTCCGTACATTTCTTACTCACCGCTCTTGTGGATTTCTGTTCCAGGGCCACCTCATAGATGGTGCCAGCGTGCCAGAGTGTTCTCTCGTCGTAAGCGATCGCGAGATGTTGGTTGGAAGCAAGCGCAAATGTTAGACGAGCCTCACTAAAGATGATGCACGGTCTGCACTGATCTAGAAAAAGTTAGCCTATGCGTGAGATCAGTGCTGCCATTAGGCATTAGGCAAGGAAGGGGTGGACATTCTTGAGCATATAGTTTAAAGCAAAACCGCTATGAAGTGCATTAAATTGCAATAAAATTTTTCCGACAAAACAATGTTGTTAAATCACTGTATAAATTTTAAGATTGTAATTAAATTTCTGAATTACAAACAACTCACTCGATGACTGAATCATATTATTTTAGCCATTGAATATTAGTGTTGATTACTGTTACCATGAATTTACCTTACTTCTTATACACACTTTTGACTGACTTTCTGGTGTATATGGGTAATATCAAATATTAGCCAATAAACGTATTTTGTATCATGGTTATGTTTGCTATACTAGTACAGGTTGTTCGTTATAACCCTGCCCCATTAAGGTAAATGTTGCTGAGTATATCGAAGGTGATTGACCAGCGCATGCCTCGTGTTCTTGAGGTCAGGGTGGCTAGGTTTCCAAAGGAAACTCTTTTATCGATAAAATATATATGGTAGCAAAATAAGGAATAAAGTCTGAGCTGATATAACCTTGACAGCTAGTTATACCTTGGGTACAATGAACGTAATCAACCAATGCGGTACCACGCATGATATCTTGCGTGATGCAAGTCATGATAAATTGGGATTGCTAAAATGGTTAGCACCATGGTTGCGATTTATCGGTTCAGTCTCGCTGTTGCATTATCTTCCATACACCTGAAGCATACCACGTCTGTCGATTGAATCCCCAGGCGGGAAATGGTGCGCTCTAGACGCGGGATGCATTGTAACGAAATATGGGTTGTTCAATGCCTTGTGCTTTGTGATCGTGTTCGAACGTGTCTTCACGTTTGCGCAGTGTCTTGTACGGTTTCTCACACATTTTTTATAATAACGCGCGTGCACAATCTGCCAATGATTCGGAAGACACTCTTCTTCTCAGACGTGACCCCTGCAAAGTTCATGCTCTCCCCAAGCTGAAGATGTCACACTAAAGAAGCTATTTTTAACACTTTTTGCTGCTTTAATTATCTTGACAAGCGGTTTCTTCTCCAGTCAAAGGCAATTTTTAGATGTCTGCACTGGAAAAATTTCTAACAGCTAGAAGCGATCCCAGTGGTCAAAGTTCCGTAGAAACGATGCGCAGATTTCACGCATTGTTAGGCTGTGAGAGGTTAGGACTGGAATAACGATCGAAAGCTGTCTCTACTCATTAGTCGAATTTCTCGCGTCGACATAGCGCCACCGGTAGGTTTCGGTCGCTGCTCGGTCATTACAGCTTAGATTTGTTTCCGAATGTTCGTGAATCTAACGAGGTATCAAGTTCGTTGGAGATAAGGTAGAAAGACAGTGAATCGTTATGCCCCCAGACAGATGTTTTGATTTGCACTGAACCTACCAAAACGTGTATTTGAAAAACCGGGTATCATTTAATAACTACTATAGCGTAGGAAAAGGTACCTCGGAGCTTATACTAGTAAGGTAGATTTGTGTTACAATTCATCAGTGAAGTTAAACAAACTTTGAGAAATTAAACGCCTGTTATAAAATATTAGAAAAATTGCGTACCGTAAATAGCGCCCAATGTGGCGGTCGTCCATTGCATACTGGGCGCAAAAGCTGATGAAACGATGCCAGTCCAGGTAAATAGGCTGCCGATCAGAGAAATTTGGTAAGCAGACAGTCGAAACCTGAGCAGCCAGACCAAGATTCCTGAAATAGATAACAATACACGTAGAGTTATTCACCTTTGAATACGCTTGATCATGTGTAGAGGTTTCCTCGAGAAACACTCTTAGTTGCCTTAACAACAAACCAGATATTTTTTCACGAAACGGTGTTAGAGTGTGACAACCACCCTCAGAACGTAAAATATTGAGACAGCATTGTTCGTTTTATAAAGAGCTTGCATTTTGTGTCGATGAAATTGTAACATACCGTAACGGTTCGCCTGAGACGCCTGCCGGGAACAACGAAAGTCGAAGACGAAGCGCACGTAGATTGCACGTGAAACGGCGCTCATTCGGTCGAATTTTTTATTTTTTCTGGAATTTGTGGACGTCACCTACGATATTAAAGCTTGTACAGTTGTCAATAGCCTCCAGCGTCGCCCAGGGGGCGCTGCGAAAATGGAGTTGCTAAGGCTTGTTCTGGGTAGAACAAACGTGAGTGTCCCAAACTTTCAGATATGAAGAAGCGGGTCTCTCCTGATGTGGAATGCGAAACCACAAGAACAAATACGAAAAAAACTAGAAAAATGCGAACGCCGTCGAAGCGCAGGTCAAAGCTAATACGCCAAGAGCGTTAATTTCACGCGTTCCAAATATAGAAAAGAAACAAAAATCGTCCGGACACCAGATGTTCTGACGTCACCTGGCAAAAATAAGAGACGCGTACCGTGTCAGCGGTGGCATTAATCTGGCACTTTCATTTGTCTTGCGGTGCTGAATCTAGCCGATTTTGGACGCCTAAAGTAGTTTCTCTGTTTATTAACAGTACACAGAAAGATAAAAGCTCAGCCAAATGTGCGAGGCCCCGTCAGGTGAGCTTGTACTACCCAAATTGAGGGCGCCATTATTTATTTAAAGCTTGAAAGCAGTAAGCCTATTCACTCCTAGGATGTTTTTAGGGTGAATGTTTCCTCCATAGGAGCGTTATTTCAGTTGTACAACCTAGCTTCCTTGATTTGGAGTTCGACAGTCTTCGTGAATTAGTTTTGTCTCACAAGTTTATTCTGATATGAACCCTTCCACGATTCACAATTTTGACAAGGAAGTTTATGATAATTAGTGCACTTCAAAAAGTTCAGGCCAACATCACACTCCACCTGCGCCAGAAAAGTCCGGCACTTTCGCGCGTTCCGAATATTGTTGCGCATAATCGTGATACCCGGTGGTCAGGCGGTTATCTTCTCACCCTTGGCGATACGTGGCAGTACAAACATTATGGAGGCACGGAATATACCGGTGCCGACGTTCAGAGCACATTCCAGTATTTTTAAGAATTAACACCGATAATGGAATGGACCGATATTGCCTAATCAACTGACTAAGTTTTCAACCACTACACGGGCAGCACACTGGTCCGAAAATTGTTCAAGTTCATCCCGCACTTACGCGGTTTCAGACCTGGGTTTCTGGGACAATGCTGTGGAAATCGGTTAGCGGAGGTTTGGTGGTTATAGAAGAAAATGGCGAAGAAATCAATTTTTTTCATGACCATGCTACTTCGTTGCGATGCTGGTGCTGGCGATGTGCAGAACACGTCCTGGATAGTTGAATGATTTCTTGTGGCCGTCAAGCGCGACACCGGGAATCTCTGACACCGATTGTAACAACTTTAATAGGTGACATTCATGGCGTCAACACCAGATACGACCACACTAGAAACGCATCGCGTGCAATCTCCACGCGCTTTGTCTTCTGGGGTGCGTGGCACGCGCTTCTGCGCACCGTTCCAAGACCGGCTCTAGCTAGCTAAAATATTAATTATGAGCTTACCACTGCAGTTATTGCGATGACTTGATTATTAGTAGTTTTGGACAAGGGTTGTCCTTTCTTGCTGTTATCGTTTTTGTTCAAGGTTGTTTTTGTGAGATGACTGTATGTTCAGTTTCTTGGAAGTTTTAATGTACTTTGAGTTGTCACCTTTTGCCTTTTGTTGTTTCGCTGCGCTGCTTTTTCATTAGTTGTTTTGTGTGTGAACAATTTTGTTGAATACATATTTCGTCAAATATTGATGCTTTGTGCCATTGTTTTAAACATCACTTTTGTAGTAACCCAAATCCGGACTATCAGTATCAATAAATAAATGACAAATTAATGAGCATAGTTGTAACCCCGACACTGGGGATACGGACACAGAACGACACGGACGAAATCTCAAACGCAGCTACAAACTTTATTTCACAGGGCAAACATATATGTTACTCGCCACCCTTTGCCCCCCTCTTTACCCCTTCCTTTTCTGAAAACCCCTACTCCCTTCCCTCTTCCTTTTCCCGGGCCCCGTACATTCCAGTCAAAAATAAGCTCAGACGGCGCCAACTCAAAGTTGCCGACAGATTCCCTGTTAACAGACGGCGCCAACTCAAAGTTGCCGACAGATCCCCTGTGAACAGGCATTCCCCGCGACATCCCTAGATCACTCCGGTGACCTCGGAATTACAAATTAATGGTTTGTTTAATGCCTCAGGTAATAGCCATTTGCTCTTTCTGAACAAGACGGGGCGAGTCAACGAGGCATTCGATGCCATTAATAGACCCTTTCCGGAATTCAGTGCCATCTGGTGACTCAAATGGCAGTTTATCTTTTACTATACTAATGGCGGCAATGGACCTGTGGTCTGCAGTATTTTATGGGGCACCGTCACTTTTAAAGTCAACAATAAACGAGAATGTGCACTTCACTACAATTATTTTTCAATCTCTCTTAGTGTCGATGGCGAAACAAATGCAGCCAGTCGGAACGAAGCGCCAACCCACATAGACGCCTTGATAGAGTTCTATTCATCAAAGGGCTTTGAAGCCGAGTGAGTGCTACTAACAGACTGACTGGGACCGAGTTAGAAATGAACGCTTACGCAGCTTTTGCGTCCAATCCTTGCTTCACGCTGCGCTAACACCTAGAATGTATTGGCCTCGAATCACCTGCTTAGGAACATCTTCAACTTCTTCCTTCATCAGTAAACAGAGGGCCGCCATTATTATAGCACATATGCCGTTTCCAGATGATGATGATAGTGATCAAAGTGGCTAGACTGAATTCCGGAAAGGGTCTATTCCAATAAGAGTCAACAATATTATAACTTGGCGTTATATAGTCTGTTTAGTATTAATACACGAGAACACATGTTCACGTGCATTGAAACCGGCATGTGTACTTACAGCAACGCTTGTATTTTGAATAAAAGACCCGAAAGGTACAGAAAGAGCATAAGTATAGTATACACAAGGTCACATCTTTTGCGTGCATTTGGGAACTATTTATATATATCCTAAGGAATATTCATATTTATTGTTAAAGCACCCTAAATTCGACGAGAGCATGCATGTAAACGGAAGTGCATTTGATTTGTGTATATCTACACGGTTCCAATCAGGCAGCCACTATGGTGTCTGTATACACGCAGGTTACTGACAAACAAGAAAACTTGCTAAGTTGATGTCCATCCTAACACAACGCTAGCAATCTTGATGTCTTTCTTTCGGGCGTAAAAGAGAAACATAACTAATCTGGTGGTTGTGCTCCGTCGCGCTTTGTACGCACCTGCCAAATTTATGAGGAGAGATGTCACACTGTTTGGCCAGGATGCATCCGATCGATTGACGCTGAACACTTCCATGAGTCCCACATAGAAGAATCCGGAATTTTGCCGCCCGATTGAGGCCGCCAACATTGCCAGGGCTGCGATGATGGGAATATGCCAGCACCTGTCGAGACGATGACTGCTTCCATTATGGGCCTCTTTCACCAGTTTTTGCCGTGTGGTGTTCATCTTCTTTTTGAAAAGAAGAAAATTCCTGAAAAAAAAAAACATTCAATCAGGAATCACTTAAGAGACATTTCAAACTTCATTTGACATTTTTTTAAGAATATTTAAAGTCGACAGTTAGACCTATTACATATTGCCCGGAACGCGCCAAAGCCAAGCATTTTCATCTGCTAGAAACTCTTCCGATCTTATTTAGGCGAGATATGAATTCACAGTTGTTTATTTAGTTTGAAGCGATAATTCGTCGTCTTTCTTATGTTGTTGGAAGTTGAACGAATGTATTGCCACTGCACGAGTAATAATGATTGTGTGTAACCTGAGACGATTTTTGCCTATCAAAAAAGCAGACATATCACTAGAGCCTCACTGAATTAGGGACTTGGACACTTTAAAGTTGAATCATAAAGTTAAATTCATAAACTTGAATAATAATTTACACGACGAACTCAGTTGTTCACGCGTAACTCAAACGACAAAAAAAAAAGAAAAATTCAATGTTCAGTATGAGGCGGAGCGCGCGGGTGCGATCAAATGGGGAAGGTTCACCTGGCGGGTGGAGCCAACTTCTCTTCGAACGAAATAGAATTCGTGTAGTGCCAGTGGGGATGCGGCTGTAGGAATGCTATTTCAAACAAAACAACCGCTTCGGCACAGTCGGAAAAAGAAGAAACAAAACAAAAACGTTTGATGTATCATGGGGCGATGGCAGCGGTCATGACCCCTAATACCTCCAAAACATTTGAGGTATTAGGGGGCATGGCACCAGCAAGATGGAACGCTCACCGCTTCTACTGTTCCAGGTGCTGCTCTTTTTCGGCATACCGGGCGACCACATCATGCTTGGCGGCAACGGAGCGGCCTCTTATGATTACACTGAATGTACCCCCCCCCCCCCCAACCCCTCCCTCATGGAATGCCTTTAATTGGGCCTTTGAGGCACCGTGAATATATAAATATATTAAGTCACAGGAATGAGGTTACAGCTTGCAAAACGCTGTATGCAGCCGCCAGGAATACACAATTAGCCTGACGCTGGTTAATTGTGGAATAGCCGTCCTACAACCATTAGTCCTCTGTAAAATCTGAACACCTACCTTAGATACGTTTCGGGTTAAGAGGCAGCATTATTTTGTTTTATCTGTGTTTAGACCATTAAAACATTTTTTTTTTTTACAAAACACTCGGATCAGAGAATTTGGGGGTATAATGAAACATTGTGAGCCACTTTGAACTACCAAAAAACAAAATTGATAATGGATTTTATAGCGTTCTGTGTATATTTTTTTATTATTTACTTAGAGCGGGCTATTCCTACTAACCGAACAGGCCGCTTGTTTTGAGAGCATGCTCTGGTGCACAACCGTATTAGTTTGGTGGTCTGACAAATTAATTACTTGGAAATCTATACAGCATGAATCATTTATCTATCGAGAAATGAAAACTGTATTTTATAAGCCACATGATTTTAAATGTATTTTCACTAATAAAGGCCTAGCTCGTCAAAATCTAAAAAGTAAAATTTTCCGTTTTCGTTCTTTCAAGCCGGAAGGGAAATAGGATTTCTTAATTTTACTTCTACATAGGCATCTTTAAAATCGGAACTTACTCTAGTCTATTTACGTTTAGTGGAAAATTAATCTAATTGTAAATGTATCAAAATCAAAATAGGCTCATCACTGTAGGTAGTGCGAGAAACTGCGTTTTCGCACAAAGAGGTCGCGTGAGGTTAAACGTAAGTTAGCTCCGAAGAAGTGATCTTAAATTACGTTCCAATCAATGAAATTTAAAAAGAAATAAACTGAAGTTCATCTTTACGTGAGCAATCGTAACCTCAATCCATGTTTTTGGGGTGACACCTGCAATATATTATTGAGAATTTAAATTATTCAAAAGTTTATGTGATGTGAGAAGATATCTTAGTGAATTTGCTTTCTTGAGGAGTAAGAAATAAGCTCAGTTTTCATTATTGTGCAAACACTAGCTCACACTATAGTTCGTTTCAGCTTCGAGGAACAGTGAAATGAAAAAAAAAAACGCTTTTTGATAAGTTTCATTTGTTAAAGTTGCGTCTACTTAAATTGCGTCCGCCTCCACCCAAATTGCTTCTAACGGCGCAAATATTGCACCAGCATTTTCTTAGTATAAAAATTAGAATAAAATATGTGTCCCAGTAATGCCCTGTAAAAAAAAAAAACTTATTTTTCTCTTTAGTGTATCTTTAAGACCAGACGCAACCGACACTATTGGACCAATCAAACAGCCTTAAAAGAGCAAGTCACTAGGTTTTTTTGTCTGGGTATGATTGGTTGGCCTGCTTGACGTGTCCTACAGTACCCCTCCGGATGTTCCGGCGTTTTCTTGACTCGGGGTCTGTCCCCACTGCTTGGAAGTTGTCACATGTGACCCCCATCCTAAAGGCAACCCACCTACCCTCTGACAATCCAGACTCCTACCGTCCTGTGGCCTCAACCTCTGTTGCCTGCCGCACATTGGAATGGGTTATCAACAAGCCGCTCCTTTTTCATCTTGAGTCCTCAGCACTCCTGAGCCCGGCCCAACATGGTTTCCGGCAAGGCCGCTCCTGTGAAACCGCCCTTGCCTCCCTGGTGCACACTGCGAGTGCCCATCTTGACTCTCAAACACCATGCGAGATAGTTCAAATGGATCTCTCCAAAGCATTTGACCGGATCAACCACCATCTGCTTCTGCAAACGCTCCGCCGTGTTGGCGTGGACGGGTGCCTCTTGAGCTGGCTGTCCAGCTTCGTCACTGGACGTTTTCAGTCGGTTCGCTTCGCGGGAGCACTATCAGATCCCTGTCTTGTGGCATCTGGTGTACCTCAAGGAAGTGTACTTGGTCCAACCCTTTTCATAATATTCATAGACGACATCACGACCAGCCTATCCTTCACACCCTTCCTCTATGCTAATGATCTGGCCCTCCTTCACCCTATCAAAACGCCTGTTTCATACACCTCCCTTCAATCCGACCTTGACCACTGTTACCGGTGGTCCTTGGAGAACCTCCTGCCCTTCAATCTATCCAAATGTTGCTCCATGACTGTCACTTCACAACGACCTTCATCTGCTCAGTCCCACAGTCTCTGCCTTGGTGGTGTCCCTCTTCAGCAGGCTACCAACCTGCGCATTTTGGGAGTGTCTGTGGACAGTCGACTCCACTTTGGTGAGCACATTACACTAACCACTGCTAGAGCTCGTCGCCTGCTTGGTTTCGTTGTCCGCGTTACCCGTGGAATGAGCCCTGCGGCTTTTCGACACCTTTACACTGCCCGTCCTCCCCATTCTGGAGTACTGCTCCACAGTTTGGCATCCTCACCAGTCATTCCTGCAATCAAGCCTGGAGGCCGTGCAACGTCGGGCCGCATATATATACGTGCGTCGTACCGATCCTGCCACGGAATTTACCTACAGGGGTACCACCCAAGCTGCGCTGTACCAGACCTCGAGATGGTGCAGTCTTCTTCACAGGAGACAGCGCCTCCATCCGTCTGTTTTGTCTGCTTATGCAGCCCTCCTACTCCGATATCCCAGACCGCCCTCGTTTCAACCTGCGAACTGGTGCCGTTCAACCCGTCCTCGCTCGTACGCATCGACACCGCGAGTCGTGCCTGCTACGTGCAGCGTCAGTGTGGCGAGGCCTACCCTCTTCATTGACTCACTCCCTGCCATCTAACCGCGAGGACATTAGAGCGCTCCAGAGTGAGGCAGCAAGATATGTGTAGCTGCATCAATGACTTAGTGTATCAATATTGTGTGTGTGTGTTTTGTTATTGTTTATTTATTTTTGGGGTATGTAGGGTCAGTTCTGCGGGCACACATGTTGCATGGGCCTCCGCCTTTCCGCAGAACTCGCACGCCCTCCATACTCTTTTTCTTTTTAAGTACAATAAAGTATGAAGCATGAAGTATGAAGTATAATACATGACGCACACCATAATAGTGCATGTTTTATGCAGTCTGATCGGTCTCACCAGCTCATAGCGTCTGCTGCGTCTGGACCTACACTCTAAAAAAAGCCCGTGCGTCTGCTTTCCCGCACAACACTCGGAGAGCCAATCACCGCAACTTACAAAGGCAGCTCAGCGAATGACGATCCCGAAACATATGTCTGGACCAAAAAATGAAAGCCGTTTACAAATCCCTGTAACGCCGAATCGGAGCGCAGCTCTTGAGGAGGAGTAGGGAAGGGTACTGAGGGGGGTCACGTCACCTGCGGGTAGTCACGTGACCCCGGGGGTCACGTGATCTCGGGGGGGATCACGTGACCTCGGGGGGGGGGGGGGGGGGTCACGTGACCTCGAGAAGGGGGGTCACGTGACCTCGAGAAGGGGGGTCACGTGACCTCGGGGGTCACGTGACCCCCCCCCGGTTACGCCGACGGCGACGCCGACGCCGACGTCGACGCCGACGCCGCTCAGGCTGGAAACGGGCCCCTAAGAGCTGCGCTCTAAAAACGCAGTCTGAGTTGTGGCATTAAGCAATGCAAAACGTCACGCTTGCATTGCTTAATGTCACAACTCAGACTGCGTTTTTTGGTCTAAACATATGTTTTGACATCGTCATTCGCTCAGTTGCCTCCGTAAGTTGCGGTGATTGGCTCTCCGAATGTTGTGCAGGAAAGCCCACACATAGGCTTTTTTTAGAGTGTAAGGTGAAACGAAGTACGGACGTTTTCAGGTGCGTCTTCTAGGCGCCACTATCTTGTTGCTGGTGGGGATAGATTATTTGATAGTCAAGCATTGCTAAGGCCGCGACTATCAGACTATCTACCCACACCAGCTGCAAGATGGAGGCTCCCAGACCCCGTACTTGCAAACGTCTGTAGCTAAGACTGACAAAACATAATTCCGGAATTAAGCTAGAACACTTGGCGATATATAAACAAACAAAAATTATATATGTGATTTGTGCTACTTGCCGTTTCCTTGAACCAATGCAACGAATTCTCGCACTGCAGTATCAGCAATGTCAAATGTAACAGCGGTCCTCCACCGTAGTAGGCGCCTAGAGAATGTCGTTCGTGAACACGCCGTCTTAAACAACACTGCACCGGTAGACCTCCACGCACTGAAGTTGTCACGTCGTTGGTCCAGTGCCTTATCTGATAACGGCACAAAGAATACGAGGCCAAACGGTGCCGCGTTCTATGCCGCAGAGGTCAGGTCTTGATGCTGGGTTTGGGATAAGTGTAGGTTCAGTCGCGTGCACCACACATTTATTTTGCGTAGCTTCCTGGTAGAGTCAAGGTGCCCGGTCTACTCTGCTTGTCTTATCTATCTCCGTACAAATGGTCTGAAATCCGGCACAATGTGCCACCAACGGCGAGAAAGGATGCACTGAGCTGCCTTGATGGCTAATAAACAGGCTACGGCTGGACGAAAGACGAACAAGTGTCGGGGGTTAGAACGCAGTTGTTTTAATGACGGTGGTAGTTTTTCTTCCACAGCAACAACCTCAGCATGAACGATAAAACATAAACTATGACACCTGTGGGAGAGCCCTAAAAAAAAAAATTGCCGACTCCAAAAAAAAAAAAAAAAGATTAAGGAAGGTTTTTTCTTTTTTTAACTGACAGATTAATTTTTTTTATTTCTTTATTTATAAATACTACATACTCCAATTTGGAGACATGGTAGGAGTGAAAAAACACTTCAAATACACAGAAAACAACAAAGAAAAAGCCGACAGTGCCTAAAAATGAACAATGGGCTCTCATGTAAATACACCTCGAAGCATAA